AACCTGCACTGGGCATCTGCTAATGCCATCCGTGCACCATTGCTGCTGGAAATACAGATTTCACGGGTGCAAAGTTCCTTTTTCTGCTCTACAGCAGCAGGGGGAAATAAATAAATAAATAAAAAAAAAAAAAAAAAAAAAAGGTAAAAGAATAAATAACCTTACAAATCTCAATTATGGGAAGGAGGAATTATTAGTGAAGGAGCTACTGAGCAGCCCTGTTCCGTGGCATAAAAAGCAATTCAACTAAACGCAAAAAGCAAGGTCCATGCAAAAAAAAAAAAAAAAAAAAAACACACCAAAAAAACCCCAAACCCAACCCAAAACAAAACCAAAAAAAGCAAACTGCAGTCAGGAAATGCCAAAGTTAAAGGAGTGTCCTCGCTCTTCCAGCATGGCAGCGCTTCTGGACAGAGGTAACGCCTCTCCTAAGGCCAGCAAATATGTTGGGAAAGTGTCTTGTAACACACAGCCCTTCATCCCCCCCAAACTCTGAAACCTAAGCAGCTTCACTCCACAGCTACACAGTAAATTGAGAAGAACTGCTCCAAAGCTAACCGGCTATCTGTCACTCTACCCATCCGCCAAGAGATGAGGTAGTTGGCACGCTAAGACAGGTGATTTTTAGCCTGTGGAACACAGAGGTGAGAGAAAGGGAACGGGAATTAATTCAACTGGCTTTATTTTGGCTGGCCAGGTAGAGTTCCCAAGCGCTCTGCAAAGCATCCCAGACACTTTCAGGGGCAGAGATAATGTTTCTCTCCAAACAGTCACATTCCCCACTAGCAACTGGGTGCTTCTGTTCAGCATCAGTTATCAAAAGTCCTTTTCGGCGTTTCTTTGTTTAGACTCACCATAAAGGTACAGCACTCAAGCCTTATTTTTTTTTTTAGGCTGATGCAGCTGTAAGACCACTCACTTTTCTATGAAGTTCTTACAAAAATCCTCTTGCGTGTATACAAGCGCACTGCAAATGCCAACACTGAAATTACTGACCTGGTTTATCAAAGGCTTATATACTTCTGAGGTTTCCCTGAGAAACATCATCTTCCTCAGCAGTCAGGGGGGAGCAGGGGGGCCCCTGGGATTTGCTGTATCACTACCTTATGCTATGTCGAATTGAAGGACTCTTTGGAGATGTGGCAATGCGAAATTGTTCAATACAGTTCTGAAAAAAGAGCAGCAAGAAGAGCAGTTTCTGGAAGGTGGCACCTCAGGGAAGGCAGGCTAGGACAGCTGGGAAAGGTAAAAGGATCCCGGTTCAGCGTGCCTGTTACCAGCAGGGTCTGGAGCAATCCTGCTCCACTGCTCAGCTTGGGCTGGGTTCGTCCGAGGGAACGGACGCAGCACACCCCGAAAGGCTGCCCGAAACTCGTGTAGGCTTAACAGAGCCACCCTAGAAACAATGTCGCTTGGGTACCGCCGGAGGCGAGAGCTCAGCAAGGGCACCAGCATCTCCCAGCAAGACCCAAGATAAAACGCAGCTCAAGTGCATCTCATCCTCCCCTGTCAGCAGTCAGGCTCTGCACGGGCTGCGGGTGTACTTCTAGCCTGTCGATTTAACGGCTCCTTCAGCTTCAGAAAGGCTTTGGTTCTTCCGTATACAGGGGAATTTACCACATTTAGCATCCTGGTTTTTTCTCCAAAGCCCTTAAAGTGTCCTGAAGAAGTCATCTCTGCACTAGGTCTACGCAGAAACCCTCACTCTCGAGATCCTCTCGACAGGACAGACATTATTAGCCGGTACGGCAGAGGATTCGCAAGGGGAAAGCAATCCTGACTGACCACGGGAGACACCTCTCCCTCGGGTGGCATCTGCGGCACCCCACGGGCCACCCCGCAGCACTGTGGGGGGGCAAGATGACAAGTACAAAGCTCGCACCCCCGGCGTTCAGGCTGGTGACCGGTACAGACACCTTATCTGCCCAACAGCCAGCCTGCAGCAGGAGGACGTGGCAAGGATTCGCCAAGGCAGCGGCCCAAAGAAAGATGCAAAATGGCCCTTCGCCCTCAAACGTGGCTGGGGTTTTCTGGCTGCTTCTGCCTGCTACTCCTGAGCAAAGGAAGAACATCAGCGAAATCTGGTGAGTAAGGAAGGTCCAGAATTACCCTGCCATGGAAGATGGGGGGGGGATGGTGGGGAATATGAAGGAATCTCAGTGTCTAAGGAAAAATTTGGAGGGGGCCAAGGACAAAATTCATATCCCAGCCAGAAGGGCCATCAGAGAGGTTACTCCGCTGACAAGGCTACCAGATTTTTACCCTGCTAGCAAGGAGGCACTAACTCCTCAATCATTGCTGCAGCAGCTTCATGTGAAGATCTGGCACAAGCACAACTCTTGTCCTTAAAGCTTAACACATCAAAACCAATACTTTTTTAAAAAAAAAAAAGAATATTCAGAAAACCAGCCGATAGTTGAGAGAGATCACGGCTGTTGCCAAATAATATTTATATTAAGTAATATGGTGTTTAGACTAATATCTGCATGAGTTGCTGGCTCAGCTACAGGCTCACTGATGTTACCCGCTACGGCTCACTGCAGCATGCAGAGGCGGATGTATGATTTTGGAAGCAGAATTTAAATTCCAAATTATAAGCATGCCATTGCATTAAAACATTAACTTTGGCATTTCGTAACAATGTATTTAAAAATAAGAAAATTAAGAATAACCTAAGTAAAACATCGAAGTGTGGAAATCAGCAGACTATCAACTATCTCTCACAGATGCATTTGTAAAATATCCCTGCTTACAGGGTGTTTCCCACCACGGTATCACAGAAAGCTTCAAATGCCATTACAGAAAATGCAGGAGTATCCAAGGGAATGTAGGACTCAAGTCGGCCTTTGGCTGAGAAGCTGCTGTGCCGATTGTGTCCCTTCATCCCAGCAAACCTCACACGCAGCTATTGACTGTGATAGTCAGTATTGGATTTTGTTCTCCAAGAAAGTGAACAGAGAGAACATTTGTCCACCACAGAGGTGCATCGCTCTCCAGGACTCAAGCTTAGCTGCCTTTAAAATAATAGCAGACCGAGCAAGCAAATTTAGTAACCTCAGTTGCTTGGCTCATCATCTTGGACACCTCCACCAGAGATGATGAGCCAGGATCCCTCAGGCATCTGAAGAGCAGCCAGACCAGCCAGGAAAACTTCAGCCTTTGAAACAAAGAGGTAGCGAACTCTTCACCTCCAGCATGCGCTTAATTGCACTAACACCGTGGTTGTGTTGCAATCTGGTCAAGTCAAAGCAAATTTGTATTAGATTGAGTCCATTTGAGGCTGCTTGCAATGAATATTTACATATCAAATTACAATCTGGTATCTTGTTTTGATTCTTGTGAAACTTCATCAAATGAAATTCTAAAACGCAGGGAGCTACGAAAAGCCACCAAAGAGATGAGATTCTCCCTGGCCATCCTGACATCAAAGTTAGGCATAGCAACATGGGAGCTGTGCAAGAGAACGTTGCAATTGTCCTTTTTGAAGTTTTCTGGGCTGGTTGAGAGCCACTCTGAGGGCAAACTGCTGGCAGTATAAACCCCGTAGCAACCGTGAAGCTGTTAGTTATGCAGAGGAACATGCACTACACAGTTTAAATTTTGTCGGATACACACCTAGACCAGTCTCAATGCATGCTCTATAAGCAGTTAGTAAATGCTACTCAAGTGGTTAAGGTCAAAAGCTCGTTTCCTCTAGGTATGCACTATTGAAGACAGTTTTGATCTGCTACAGAAGTGATCCAAGCCTCAGCCATTCTCAAAGCATTCACATTTATTTTCTGTTTCGTAAGATTATTCTTTTTTTTCATTCTCTGCAACAGCTCAGGAACCATGAAGCTGGTTTTGCCCAACCTTCACGAGCAGATCACTGTTTCAGCACCTCTGTTTTCAGCGTGCTGCACTGTTAGCAATCCCTTGTGCGGCTCGACAACAACTCGTCCTTGCTGCACAAGCTACAGCACAGCTGCCCCGGGAAGCGACCTACCATGCGAGAGGGCTGGTCCAACCCAGGAGGACAGGAATGATTCAGTGCTTCCCGTCCCGGCTCAGCACGCTGCCCTCCCTCCACCGGCCCTAAAGCACCCGGCTCCACCACCTGGATGCATCATGTTCCTGCAGCATGATGGCACACCTGCCGCTTCTCATGGATTCCTTGAATAGTTTTCTTGATAACCACTGTAGTGAGCAGCCAGGTGCCGCATGTTTCTCAATGTGGTTCTTTCAAATACTCATTTTAGCCTCAAACTGCCCCTTCCTTCCCCCACCTTTTAAAGAGGAAAGTATGCAGAAGCAGCTCAAAGATGAAACAGTTGCTACTTTTTTTTTGTGGACCAGAGTTTAACTAATCAGCGCTACCATCAAACCTGATAATAAAAACCAGTTCTTTAGAAAATATAAGTCAGTGGCTATTACAATTAGATATATTTTCCAGAGCATTCCTTAAATAGAAATTCAGTTATACACCTAAGTAAGAGCCCTACCCCCCCCCCCCCTTTTAACATTGAAAACATGTTTTATTTTTGAAGCATCTCTGTGGTCCCGATCCCTTTACAAAACCTGCCCAGTGTCCAATCCAGACGCCACATGGAAGAGGGGGTGCCATCGCTGATTGCAGTGTTTCCAACTCTTCCCCCCGTGCTGCCCTACGCTCCTTCGGGCTGACGTGCAAGATTTCTCAGGGCTACTACAGCAGGAAAGAGACGGGAACGCTAGACCCCTTGTGCAACAGAAGCTTTAAAGATATTGAAATAACCACCCCGTCACCCCACAGTCTGAGATCTTTGGGGAATCCAGCGTTAGGACTTTGCTCAGCAATTGGACCCTCTGCATTCGCTGGGCTTAATGTTCGGAGAGGGAACAGGTGAGAAAACAAAGAGCTCAGAGCTGAACGAACTGGGCTACCGATCCTTCTGCCACAAAGCCCCACTCCATTCTGCTTCCAAAAGTTCGCTTTGCCTTTTTTTTTTTTCCTCCTTATAAGCGGCTTTGAGCACACTTACCGTCTGGGACTTCATCCGGCCGCTTCCTTTTCTCATAGACAACTATGATGACAACGAGGATAACGATTTCTGCCAAGATCCCCAAAAAGGGCCAGAGGGGAGCCAAGTGGCTGCGGACACGGAGGATGGTTGTGACCGAGACAGAGCCGACCTGGTTGGTTGCGTTGCACTGGTACTCGCCAGGATCCTCGTTTATCTGTAGGTTTGTGATGCTGAGCTCGGTGTAGTTGTCTTTATTTAAAATAAAGAATCTGCCAGAGGAGTTGTTGATGTCCTGATAAAAGGAGAAAGGTGGAAGGGGAAAAGGGAAAGAACTTTAGTAAGTTCTGATGCCTCTGCATTTCTGTGTCAGGGCAACGAGAACAGATTTGAGGGATTCTTGCGAAGAGGCTGGTTCCTTAATGCAACAGAAAAGCCCACTGATAGTGTTATTCTGTACCTCCTACTGAAGTGAGCTGTGCTTCAAAACAACAAAAAATGTCAGCTTAACTGACAATTTGTATTCTCATCCTACTTTAAACAGTATCGGCCGTGAAAGGCCGGCGGTTGCGATCACGTAAGCTACCACCTTATGGTCTAGGTGTTCTGCTTCAAGAGAAACCCTTACACTCCCTTCACCAGTCAACAGCTCTAAGATGAAACAAGTAACAGGAGAGAGGACACATTCCCTAGCAGGGGACAATTTCAGTGGGGGGAGGGGGGAGGAGGAAAGAAAAGTCATATCAGTTAAGATTATTCTACACCGCATTAGATAGCGTTTTCTAACCATTTAAGGTATGACAGCCCTAATAAAATTTTCCTTTGCTATGCTTAAAAAAAAAAAAATGCGCACTGCTCACAGATCTGCGGTCAGGCAGCCTAAGCCACTGACTTGAGGAAAATTTAGAGAAGCTGGAATTCAAGGCACTGTATTCTTTATTTGAAAACAGACTTTCAGAGTTGCTTATGTTTGAAGAATTTAAAAGGGGCAAAACTGATCTCTCTGAAAGTTAATCTTGGGTCAAGTATTTATCAGATAACTTCACCAGAAAGACGGTGTGAAGGGAAATCTGCACAACACCACAGAGGATTCTGATGACTTGCAGCACTTGGTAAGTCACTCAGAGAGCACTGTCCCATAAAACTTTAAGCTCACGCTTAACAGTGAACAATCAACCCATATTGTTATTTGCTTAACATTTTTTCTTCATCTATAATCAAACTGATACCTCTCTGGCAGATCATACAGCAACGTAAAAATAGGTGGGCTGAAGGATTTAGCAACTTCCAGCTTGTCTTCTGCTATTCCAATTGCTGGTCAAATTTTCTTGCTCACTAGATCAGTGGCTACATGGAAGAAATATGATCACTGAAACACTAGTAGGTATCACTGCCACATCCTCACATTAACTCTTGTGAGCTCAACCAGTAAAACGGGAAAATAGTTTGAGAAATTTAGGACCAAATGCGTTTTTAAAATAAAAGTCACATTTTGTAAGTCACGTTTGTAGCAGATACCCTGAACAGACTATCTTTCTGGACAGCTTGTAACTTTGCCCAGCAGCAATGCAATGAGCAACTCTGTTCACACAACAACCACCACCTAACTATTCATTTTATATTCCCTGCTGCTGAGAAATTTCAGCTCCACTCACTAACGTACCAGACTTTTGAGGAACTGCATTTCAAGAAGTTATAGGGCACCCTAAGTAATACATCCCTAAACCCACGGTGCTCGTTTCCTTCCTTACTGGGGGTTTTGGCAGGTTAATGCATGCCTGACAACCTGGTTTCCTTACCTCAAATACGCCGTTGACCTTCTTGCGCCACACCCACTCGGGATGGGGGAAGCCCACAGACTTGCAGTACATGAGTGCCTCCTGCCCCTCATTTTTATTTTCACTTCGCTTGTGGCCAGTGATGTCAGGAGTAGCTACGAAACAAAAGAAAAAAACTGCATTTACAAGCTGCTCGTTGAAGAAAGGGTTATTTCAAGCTCTGAGAATCTGAACAGAAAGCAAGTTACAAGCTCCCTGGAAGCTGCTCCCTTCCCACACGGAGTCTATCTTAGAGAAGAAAAACTGTGATTCCCGTGTCTCTCCAAGCAGCATTTCAGCTTAAGATCTGCAAGAACGTCCTTCAGGCTTGGTTTGCCAGACAAACTGACAGACAAGGGAGAAATCTCAACCTGAAACTTGAGTTATCTACCAAAAACCCACAAAATGAAGATGGCCCAGCCCCTCCCCAGTGCAGGAAGCCGGGAACCACCCGCGCCTCCCTCCCCACCGCCCAGGAGGCCCCTGCCGCCCTGCAGTACCCTCAGCTTTGAAGCAGAGCTGTCAGATTCTGGTTACAACTTGCCCATTGCGTCAGGACTCTGATCTGACACTGTCTTCACATGCATTTCTGAAAGCCGAATCAAGGTGTTCTTCCTTGCAGGAAGATTTTCGGTTTGGTCCTCAGACCCGCTGTGACTCGTTACACCTTACAGCGACGCTGCTCCCAGGTACTGCTGGGTGCCTGTAACGCCGCAGAAGTCAAAATCCCTCCAACGCAGAATCCTTTCATTTAGCCCATGCACACATATATTTTAAGGAGGGCTGCAGGTGAGACTGGGCAACCGCAAGCAAAACACGGCCCTAAATATCCGCAGAGGGTCTTCTGGATCGATTTAGTCTATAAATAACGTCCCTGCTGCTTGCCACGTTTGTCACAGCAGCCCGCTGCAGCCTAATACCTCACGGGAGATTACGGTGGATCACTGGACTGCCCGAGCTGAACATTTGCTTAAGCAGATGGCTCTGGTGCTGTAGTGACCACCTTTAAAGCCCATTCGCTTTCGAGCTTGCTAATTATGTCACACATGACCTGCTGTGTGATTGCAGGACGCTGATCTGTTAATCCAGTCCAAATCTAAGCCGAGTGCTCCAGGAAGAGACCCCCGGGCACTCGAGTTTATTACAAGGGTCTATCTGAGGAGAGTTCCCTTTACCATAAGTCGCCCCTACATACAGCTATAGTGAGGGAGTACAGGTTTGTGACCGACCACTTATCTGCAGCCGCGAGCTAAAATAATTAAGCAAGTACCACAATTCTGATCAGCCACAGCAAACAAAAACAAGCAAAACATCTTGTGCAACCAGACAGCATCAGCTGAACCTGCTCTTCCCCAAAATTACATCACAACTCTTGGGGAAAATGTTCGGCAAGCTTAAGTGCTAAAGGAATTATCCTATTTCAAAGGCAAGGGGCTTTTCAAACGCAGAAAGCATCCCACGCCTCACCCCTGCAAGATTCTTTTCGGACAGTAATGCAGCTGATTGATAATGTTGTTAGAGTGAGAATTAAAATAAGCTTCTGAACAACAGAAAAATCATGGTTGTAAGAATACTTAAGCTACAGTATTCCTTTGTATGTGCACATTCACCTGAAAAGACACCATCAGGAGAGGCTGATCAACCCAGGCTTTTCTCAAAACGCCCATGTAAACTCAACCAGGCTTTCCAACACACGTGAGCTTTGCACAAGTTCTGACCATTTGCCACGTCAAGACACATGCACTTGCTGCTTACAGAATTATTAATTCTTAGTTGCATTTTCTAAGACGTGATTTGCTCCAGCTCAGGAACAGCCCGAGCTGCCAGCACACACTGACAAGCTGAACGCTGGACGCTGCTGCAGAAGATGCAGAGACCAGCTCCTTCACAGAGATACTGCCTGCCAGAAGTGAGAACTAACTCCAGGGCTTCTGGTAGAACCTGTCAGGAAGTTATGCCATTTTAAAGTAGCTTAATATATTAAGTATTTTAGTATATTAAGCATGTTTGGGTTTTTTTTTTGTTTTGGTTTTTTTTTTTGTTTCCCTCGCCAACCCTCCCTCCCTGATTCTTAAACAAACACCTTTTCATCAGGGAGCTGAAAAAGAGCTCATTACCTAAGAAAAATACTATCATTGTATCATGCCATAAGGAAGAAGGTGAAGGAAGCAATCGATCAAAACCTGTAAGTATCCACACAGGAAAATAATGGCTTTGCTAACAATATTCAATATACATGATCATATAGCAAGCTCAAATGCTGACTGATTGCAAGACAATGCTAACCATAAGCATGATCTAGAAGAACAAGGAGCTAGGAGTTTTATCATTAAGAAAACTGATACCTAAAATATATCTTTACACATCAAATATGAAAATACTTCAAGAGACATAAAACATGAACTGAATGAAGACACGTCATTACAGTTCTCTGGTCTTGTGCAAAAAGAAGCTGTCAGGTATAGAAACTGAAGCAAGCTGGAACGGAAAGAACATTCCACACTTGCTAAGTGATCACATACCACCTGTGCCTACAAGGGGCAATAATACTTGGAGGAAGTTAAGTTTTCAAGCTGAAGGTCTCCAAGCAGAAAATAAATCAAGCTTTAGGGCTGAGTGTGCTGCGTTACACCTTCAGGATACTAAGCACCAATATGCACCTGCAAAGTCCTTTCAGACCACTGTCTGCAGCCTCAAAGAAGAATACAACATTTATTCCAAAAGACGGTGGTTCAACAAGAAGCTAATTTCACCTCATGATCTACTAAAAAGCATCATCTCTTCCTTGCTGGGCTTGGAAGGTTCTCTTTTAGGTGGGAGCAAAGAAGCCCAGTGACTTCCCTGCAGTTTGTGCTTACTCGAGGATGATATGCAGAGATCTCAGCCAACCTAATAAAAATGAAAGGCCAGCAGCAGCAGAGGACAAGAGACAGGCTTTAGGTGGCGACTGTCCCAGAACTGGCACCGAGGGGCTGTCAAAAGCGATTGCAAATTATCCCCGTTTGGAAAAGAAGAAATAGGATTCAGCAACTTAAAGCTGAAGCCCCACACAGTCTCCATCTGTCAGCACTTCTATTTTCTTTGCCATCTACCAGCAGACAGCGAGTCAAAGCAGAACCTTGCAGGGGAAAAGGGTGCAGTAAGTCAGCACTCTGCAGCTGGCCCACTTTTTCTGTAACGCTGCTGCTAGAGAAAGAAAGAAAAAGGAAGAGGGAAAGCTTTCTAGGACACCTTAACTTCTGCTGCAGGGTGACCTAGTGTTCTCCTGCAGCCAAGAGATAATTATGTTTCTTTAAGAGGAGGACATCTTCGCCAGGTTATGCCAAGGAGAGCATAAGTGACAAGAATATCTTCTGCTCTTTCCTTGCTGGGCACAGTTAGGCAGCAGCCATTTCCAGCTCTGCCAGGACAGGGACTATTTTGGTACGCAGTCCAAGGGGAGCGCTACAGGGAACATCGGTGGTTCAGAGCACGATGCTAGCCAGTTTCAAGATATGGCCGAGACCTTCATCCAGTACTTATTCTACCAAACTGTTTGGCTAAGTGTATTTGGGCTGTACAAACTACAGTTAAAATATGGCTGCAGCTGACCTCAGTCACAGATTTAGCAACGGAGCGATGTTTTCCTGTGAAGCTTTTCAAGTCAAGATTTTTCTTATACCGTTCTGTTCCAATGCCAGTAACAGATAAAGCACAGAACGAAGCAGGCTTTGTTTAGAAAGGAATTGGATTTCACTTCAAGCTTTCAAGCAGCAGAATCCACATCTCTGTTCAGATACTGTCGGCTGTGGAGACGTGGGCACAACATGCTACGTCAGCTCCTACATCAGCAAAACCAAGATAATGCCCCTGATAAAAGCAGGCAAGATTTTTTATTCTTACATTGTGAAACAGCAAAACTAAATACTGCAGGTTTGCTTGAAACAGCGTATGGAAGGGCAAAGAGAAGCAGAGCTAAGTCTAAAAAGTTGCTACCGAAAAAAAAAAATCAAAATAAATACAGATTTAGCCACTCGTGACCCAAGAGTAAACTTCTGATAAGCATCATTCTTTTGATAGCTTTAAACTGGATCACAAGAGAAAGGAAGTTTGTGCCAGAATAAACACTGGACCTCCATGCTTCAAGTACCCAGCAGGCACAAAATACACTGCACAGCATCTTTCTGAATGGTAAGTTTTTAATACAGGCCTGCAAAGAGGGAGGTTTCTTGTCCTAGTGCATGCAATGTCATTTCTTGATATATTGAAAGTCTTCTGCCCTTAATTTCCAGGTATTTTAAAGATATTTTACTAGTATTACTAAAAAGGAGAGGAGAACTAATATGTGCAAACCGTGTCCCAGTTAACAAAAATCCCTTCAAGTTTTCCCATTAACAGACAAAATTAAAGTAAGGGCAAAAGCACCTAAAAATATTCTTGCACGTAAAAACTATTATGTCTTATGGGTGACCTAGTAAAAAGGCTCTGGAAGATTTATTTTCCTGCATTGTAATTCTAATCCATGTCTACCTTTATAGCCTGGGCAGAGCTAAGACACCAAAGGTACCGTGAGAAGGGAGAATGTGACATGCATTTTCTGTGTAATGCTTCGGATCAATCTAAGATGCAGTTGTGCTAAAAGAATGCCTCGTTTCATAGTTTATTTCTGGCACAGCGTCGTGAAACTGCAGCAGAGGTTTCTTAAGACAGCCAGGAGTCCAGAAACCAGCATCTTCCAAGGGTGCTGAAATAACCACTCCTCTTCCAGCATGCTGCTTGGGCTGGAGCCAGGGTGGAAGTAGAAGAGGAACATTCTGAGTGCAGGTATTGCATGTGAAACAAGCCCGTCCGACTCAGCGGAAGCTAGGGGGGATAATAAGCTTTTTTGCCCCCCCGAAGTGGTGAGTTTTATGTCTCTCGGAAGCAGCAAACAGGACTGGCCTGAGCACTTGCTGTTGGGAAATCAACAGCAGCTGGGGAGGTGCAAAATGAGTGAGGGGCGAGGAGGGAAATCAGAAGAATCCCCTTGATGAGCTAACAGCAGAAAGGCCGTAAAGGAAGGGGCATTACAAAGCTCCACCTGTGCAGGAGCACGGAAGGAAGGGAGCCTTTGATGGGAAGGCAGGGCAGAGAGAACAGATACACCCCAGGAGTCGCAACGTCTGCACTACTTCTGGGCAGCCAGGGGAAACTGTCAGCGTGTTCTTCCCTATCTGGTTCTCACTGCTGCTGCTCTGCACCAGACAAGTTCGTGGAGTATCAGAAGACAGAAAGACAAAACTTGTTTCCTCCTCCTCCACCCCGGATCTTGGTAAGAGCAGAAAGGTTGCAGAGGCAGAATTCTTCAGAGTTGTTTGTTGTTTTGTTTTTTTCTTTTAATCTTCGTGTTTTCAGAGCTCCAGTATCACAACAACAGCAAAAGCACCACAGGTATTTCCACTGTGTGGCAACAGAGCAATTAAAAAAAGCCTGCTTCCAGATGGGGAGTCGATAGCGCGCTGCATCTTGGCTAGTGCCTGGCAGGCTCATCATCACCCTCCCTGCCGAAAATAACCACATCATACATCACGAGCTGGTTACCTGCAATGCTCTCAGCCAGCTGACTTCACTGTGAAAGCAAAGGGTGGGAGAAGGTCCCTGTTTCAAGGCAGAATCTTCCCAATATCAGCATTTGCTCAGCCTGGTGTTTCAGGCCTAGAGCTGCACTCACACAGCTCTCAGGATTTGAGCAAGAATATTCACAGTCTCTACCAGACACTTCATCTAAAAGCCGAGTGTATGAGGGAAGCCAGACTGATGCCATTCCTGGGAATACCCTGAGACTGACATTAAAACCTCACTATTGTCAACTGCTGTTACACTAGTGCCGCCCCAGTAATTTTTTTACCAAGAAAACCTGCGTTAAATACACAAGCACACCTAGCAATTCTAACATCGATGCTCACGTTTCTGCATTATCTTCTTACATAGCACATGTAGAGTCAGGAAGAAAAAAAGGCAACATTACATAAAAGGCAAATGGCACTGGTATATCCTGGATTGCATCTGCTGCGAGGCATTTGTTAAAGTTGTTCGCAAGTTGTCAGAAAGTCACTATTTTGGTCCACAAGCACTTTCATATTCAGAGCCATCTTTTCTATGTGCATCAGCAGTTAAAAATTGCAATATAATTACGATTAGCAATCGAATTTGTGTACAATTTACACAAATACTGTGTCAGGCCACACATGCAGGTCAACATTAAATCACAGCATCTGCATGGTCAAACAAGATCCATGCATCACTGATACATCACCTATTCCTTGATTAACAACTAGGTAACATCTCTACACATCAAGTAGTATCAAAAATCTGTTTGCTTTGAGAACCAGAACTGCTTTGGCAGAATGTGGAGGATATTTACACCAAACTGCAGGAATCGCAGAGAATGCCTGCCTTTGCAAAGTAAAAAAAAAAAGCTTGCGTAGTCTTTGCAACTAGCATGGATATTATTCAGAGACATTTACATCCAAGAAAATATGTGCGACACCACACAAGTGTAACTGTATAGCTCTTCCAGGAGCAGTAACTCAAATGAGTACTCTCTGAGCAGAATTAATTTATGTACGGTGCTAGGACTGCACGAAGACTGCAAAGTTCTCTAACTTGTGCTTTAAAAGTTTCCAAGTAACAAGAGTCAGATAGGAAAGCTGCTTTTCAGTTCCAATTTACTTTGCAGAAGACCTGACAAGGTACTTCCCGCTCCAGACAACCCCTGGTACTTCTCTCTGCCAAGGAGGAATTTGAGGCCCACTCTTGTGATGCTGTAAGGAGGAGCTGGAGGAACGGGGTTACCGAGTCCTGGAACTGCAACTGCCAAGTAAGCTGCAGGTGTAATACCCCCCAAGAGTGGGGCTGGAGTCATTAACTTTTAACTGATGGCTATTCACTTGTATTTCTATGCAAATTACCTGTGAAAAGTTGTTAGTAGGATTAGTTATTAATTCTCCCTCTGCCCTTTGCAACAGGACTTCAACCAGATATATTGGCTTTTCTTTCTACAACATTAAATCCTATCTCCCTATAAACCTCTCTGCCAAATTCTCTTGGTGTCCCCACCTGGCACCGGAGAGCAGAGAAGCCCTAGGCCAAACTTTTCTGAAAGGTCTTTTGAGAGATTATAAAAAGCTGGAAGAGGTCTTAATCTATTACCAAAGTCAAATTTCTTGTCTCTGTAAGTGGTTTGTTACCCAAAGCAGCCTAGAGAAGGTGGAAATTACTTAAGATCTTAATTAAGATAATATGAGAAGATTTAGCAATTACAGCATAACTGCAGAATGCAAAAAAATTCCCTCAAACCAAGAAAAAACCTGCACCTATGTACCTTGAATACCCAGAAGACAAGCTCACCAGAAGTACAACAGAAGTTTGAATTCCATTTGCTATAAGCAAGGCAATAATTATTTTTAGAGGTGCAGTCAGATTTTTTTTATCCTAGGCCAACAGGAACTTGTGGTACATTTGCATGAGCACATATTTTAGATTTCCTTTTTCCTTGCAGAGATAGCTTCTGCACCAGATTTGGTTAAATACTGGATATATTTTGATAGGTTGTTTTATGCAAGATCATTGAAAAAACTTTTTTAAAATCGACACAGGAAATCAGCAAGCTTTTCTTGGTACAAAATCAGTTAGAATGCTTACTTATATGGCAAAATTTCTCTTCCCCAGGAAACCATTTGTACGGTTCAAAAGGTGATGTTCTCTGAAGAGGAGAGATGGCATTCAGGATAATACTGTGCATTTGTCAGTTCACACAGAGTGCTGAATTACTCCCATTGCCTCACTTCTGATTCAGGAACCTGACCGTGCAGAAAGAGGTCAGCTTTCAGCTTTTGCTACAGATGTGTGCTACCTAATCTGAACAACAATGGTCACAATATAGATCATGATAGGCTGCATCACTGGTGCAGGGATGCTGAAAAATAGTGTGAAGCACCCTCCTTCCCATTTGCTCTTTTCAAACAGCAGCGGAGGAAACTCGGCATTTAAGCTGGGGATGTAAGAAAGATGGCAAGTAGTGCTAACTTAGATTTCAAACGAGTTTACAGTACACCTTCAGAAAACAAGCATCAGAAGAGTCCTCGATGTGCACAGGCTGGTCGCAAGACTTTTTAATGCGTTTTTGTGTGAACTCATCTGCCTTTGACTACAAAAGCAGCTGTGACGCATCGATTCTATCTTACTGCAGCTCATAAGGGGCAAACCATGGCTACTGCAGGGCAGGGGGCTGGTGATTTCCACAGTTATTCAATGAAAAACAACTGCAATTTAAACACTGTATGGAACACCATCGTCTCCATGTTACCTCTATGCTGCACATCTAAAACACTGTGTTCTTTCGTTCAGCAACTACAGTAAAACTTGGTGCAAACCTTTCACATTTTGCAGCTTCTGTCCATGATTTTAGGGTCCAAAAGATGTCAGAAGACTACTAACATGCACAAGACAGAAAAAAAGTGCATGAAAGTAGAAAGCTCCAGTCTGGTACAAGACATCGGTCCTAACCAGAACTCAGGCTTTCTCGGCAACTGAAGTAGTCTCTGCAGACAAAACCCAATTCCAAGCAGCCACACTGAGATGCTGGTTCTTACTTTTTTCCTATTCAGAACAGACAAATTCAAAGTACATTGAATACATTCAGGTGGCCTCATTTACTGTGAATCAGGGAGGAAACCACAGCTGCCTTTGCATGAGCACAGATATATTCTACAGCAATCTTTATCCTGCTGGACAGGCAGGAATAGCAATCCTAGTAAATCTTGCAATTTTAATTAACCATTTAATTAACCAGATTTACCAAAGGAGTGCAGAAGCACGTGCTAGAAGGTGTTTTAGTACCCTCTGTACTGACCACCAGTGCAATGGTCACATTCCCATATCTGTGAGATCCTTCCCCACGACTACGTGCAAGAATTCCCCTGAAATCGTAACCAAGGATCAGACACAGGCTCTATTTCACGAGGAAAGGACTCCTGAGTGAGCTTTCTTGTACAGAGGCAGTGAAAGCACTTCACTTTCAGGGAGAGGAAACAGAACAAAACAAAAATAAAAAGAGTACCTCTCACTTCTATAGTGGCGTTGGCTATAGGAGAGTTTGAAAACACAAACACGCACAAGTATTCCCCTGACTCTTCTGCTCTGGGCTTCAAAATCCTGCAGACAGGGAGAGAACACATGAGCCATGTTAAGTACTGTGTTAGCAACCAAAAATGAGCAGGCTAGGAGTTTATTTTCCCACCCCCATACTTGAATCTTTTAACTGAATTTCACAGCTATTACTTGTTAATTCAAAGTATGTTGTACAGATGTACCTCCTTGAAATAAAGGATGTTCTTTGCCTAGAAAAAAGGTGAGCTCTAGCCTGGAAAGTCAGTACCAATTTAGCTGAAGAAGCTGCATTTAGTTTAAAAGCAAAGAAGGAGCCTGACACCTGTTAATTATGCACGACAGTTAGTTTGATGTAAGTCATCCTCAAGTCACTAGCCTGAGGCAGATATCCCCCACCATTGAGGGAAGAACGTGATTTGTATGTATTAACTGCATTGAAAAAAAAAATCATATATGGCCAATTGGAAAGACACAGACTACAGATACAATCAAGGCTGACACTGCCATCTCATAAGCTGTCGTCTTTTTTTCATAACTGATATGAGACTGGTCCATTAATAGTCTTCTCCGATTCAGACTGGATGTGGAAAAACTGCAAAAGCTGGTCAACTCATGAAGGAAGACACCACATAGGAAACTGCTGCCACTTAAAATTAGGAAAGACTAATGCAATAACAACCAGCAGAGGGGAAAAACAGGTCCAAACCAACCAAAAGAAAATCACAGCTGCAACAAATGCAGAAAAGCCCAAAACAAACAAAACCAAAACAAAAAAAAACAAACAAAACCCACACAAAAACCCACCACTAAAACCCCAAGATGAATTTACACTTAAGACGGTGCTAACTTCAAGTCCACCAGCTTTTGCTGTCCTTTGAAAAGCTTTTGGATACAAATGACTTAAAAGCTCTACACATGTTCTGCACATATTTACCTGCAAAAGACATCTTAGACTAGAGAAGCATACGATGACGTGACACAGAATTTACATCTCCACACAGCACAGAATAAGATAGTTTTCCCCATCACTCTCTCCCTTTACTGAAAGGCTTCTTGCCTTTTTTTAATTTTTTTTTTTTAAACACATTAAGTAAATAGCATGCAGACGAACAGAAACCCTGCGGAAGAGCACTGTAATAAAATAATTTAACTACACATGGAAACTGCTTAGACCCATGGAAGAAGCGGCTCAGTTTAGCACAATACTTTGACTCAAGTCTTCAGTGTGTTTACAGCACTTTCCAGAGTCACCGGTGAAAGTCTAAAGTTAGTTACAAAGTTAACAGGTCTGTCAGATAAATGATAATACACCCTCTTTTCCCACAGTTAAAGATGATCTTAATGACAGAAAGAATGATCCTTTAGTATCAACCAGCAAAGCAGCGGCGGTGTTTAAACTGCAGGCAGGCAAAGTCTCCTCAGGACGCAGGCGCCTGCGCACCCTGCCCGCCTCACCCGCCCCAACGCCACAACTCCACCCAACTATTTCCATTTCTAAACTACTGTAAAACTCTGCAGTAGCAAGGGAAGGCAGGGAATACCCGGATTTCTGTAACAGTATTTAGGACCTTAATAGTTAAATAATCACACTCTGACCACTGCTTTTTATCCACTGTAGTCAATGCTTAAAAGAGGAGGTGGGAGGAAGACATTCTATTCTTTCAGCTCTACGTAAGATTCTTTTTAAAGTGTGAAACTACAGCAGCCTCTACTAGAATATCATTACCATAAATCATTAAAGCAAGTGTAAACTGATACAGCTGCAAGGTTTTATAGACAAACAAGCACCCAAAACAAGTTTGCTTAACCAACAACTTCCCTCATTCCTGTGGTTTTAGGAAGAGTCCAGCTTTTTGTAGATGTAGACTTTTCAGCAGATGCAAACACACCCAAAATACCATTTTCTTTGATTTAGCTCAGTGACCTGCTACTCAGATCTGAATTAACTGATGAGGAATTCAGAAAGAAATCACTACTTTTCTCTTCCAAACTAGGAATGTAGCCTAGGAGACAGGTCTCCAGAATGAAAGCACAGGGTGGCCAGAACCACTTCCAGGCACTTTCTGCTTGTGAAAGAATACACTACAAATACTTCTTCCAAATCTTTAATAAAAATGGTGAACTAAAGAGCTATACTTAACTCTGAACGTTCTGACTGTGGCTACCTTCCAGCAAGAGTAGCTATGTCAAGATCAAATGAAGAATTAAGAAAGATGTGTTCAACTTCTAATGCTGCATGAAGCAGGATTTTTAAGGTATGTAGTTTAACTTACAAATTCTGAAGCTTTCCGAATGGTAAACAACGCTGGACTTCATTGAGCTAACTATTTCATAGCAAAACATCACATCTTGAAATATTTTTTTTCAGTACAATGCAGGAGATAAATCAATCATTATTAAAAATGCTGAAGTTAAATAACCTCTTTAACTACAATGATGTTGACATTCCCTTCACGAATTTGGTATTTCCGGATCTAAAAAAAAAAATAGTAAGTAACCAAATCAATTTAGAAGTTAATGAACAGATCAAATGCAGTGTGACCGATCTAATGCAGTGTGACCACATGCAACAAAGAAATGCCACAGAAAGTCTGAAACCACAATATATAACCAAGCAGCTTATAAACGAGCAGAAATTTAAGGTCTGCATTGCAAATACAATCTTTCCCAAATTCTCAAACTGTCCTGTGATTGCACCATGCTCTACCAACCCTTCATTCACTGGGAACAAAGTGACTCTCTTACAGTCTGCCCACCTTACTTCCTTCTCCAGGACATTAAAACTGAAAGTAAATTAAATTTGTCTTTTACTGAGGAATCTGAAAGGAAAAACCCACCGTAGCTTGGAAGAGATTATAGAGAAATCAGCCTCAATACAGTAATCTTGATGCAATGTACCTTTTGTACCACTCAGGCTGGTGCTTTTGGACAAGACTGCTCATCAAGTTAATTGCTAGATAAGAAAGCAGAGCCTTTAAAACTCAGACCCAGTGTTAAACACTGTACTGAATAAAAACCAGGATGTAATTATGGAACTAATTTAGACTGGGTTTTTTTAACTGCAAAACTGAACAGATAACACAAAGGGAGCTAAAGTGGAAAACAGAAGGAAAAATCTGAACACCTCTTTATCAGACTCAAACACAACTTCCATAATCCTGTGGATGAAAGGGTGCTTTTCTAAGGCAATGAAAGCTTCGAGTATTTCTTAATCCAGTGCCAGTAAGCAACATTAGTGTGGTAAAGAGCCCACAGTGCCCTGTCAGAGACGGAAAAAAGGCAGTTGAGTATGTGGGTATGTTTCCTTGCTTTAGTGCAGAGACAAGGCACAGTAAACCAGATGCAGTATAATAAGAGTGGGCCTCGCCCAGACATAAGCACCTTTTTTTGACATAACTGCTGAGTAAGAGGGCCAGGAGTGGTCTAATGTCTCCAAAAAGTCTAAGTCACCACCAGTGGTTAAGACATTTCTTAAGCGATCTTCATCTTAGCTTAACACTGAACATAAAGTTGTATTTGCTATCCATGCTGGCATCAAGAGAAGAAAATGGAAGAGAATAAAAAAAAAAAAAAAAAAACGCCATGAAACAAAACAAGAGAATTTCACATACAAAGCAGATTTCTGATGGCATCACTGAGCAAGCTTCACATGCTCTCATCAACTCCAAGGCAAGAAAGCCCCATTTCAGGAATACAGAAACCCTCAAAGGACTTCTGCTCAATGCAAGCTACGGTGAAACAAAAGAGGTGGCTGTACAGGTTCTGTTCTCCTTCACACCCTTAGATGGAAGGTACAAACAAAGCCAGAGCATACACATGTGGAACAGATTGATGCTGAACATGTGGATGTACTGACAAATAAGCACAAATGATACAGCTGTACTGGTTTAATCAAGATTTGGTGTCATTTCATAGTAGTGGTCTGACAACTCCTCAGTAACAACTCAGACAATACCGTCTTTCATCTCCCAAGGCCAGAAAATGACTAAACCAGCTGATTTCAGCAGTGATTTATGTTCTGCATTTCTCTGCATGATAAAAATGCACAGCTGCAGATCCATCTTTATGAAGACATAAGACAGAGACTGCACAATACACTCAGGAAAAGAAAACTACACTGTGTGTCCGTGCCTATGTCCACGCATCGCGTGTACTCTAGAGAAGAACTAAATGAGTTTAGATCGACAGAAGTTTACAGTATGTTTTTGGTGACATTATGTTTACATGAGCTAGCTGGGACAGCTGTAGACAACAATTATTCCAAAATCATTTTAAGACTATTAGACATGTACTTTTTGTGGAGCCTCTAATGCAGATGAACTCAATTTGTCTGACCACTGTGAAGCTGAACCAGCGACCCTGGGAGTCCCAACATCTCATCATCCATTCCAGAGCAGGGTGTCTACTCTGAAGAGACTTACTTGTATTCTGTAGTGTTTGAAGATTTTCTAGTGCCAGGGATCTCCTCTCCGTTCTTCACCCAGAAACTGGCAGAAAGGGGGCTGGGACTTGTGGTGAGGTTACACTGCAATGTGACGGCCGGGCTGTACAGATGAATGACTACATCCTCGCTGGCGTTGATCCTGGGCTCTGAAACAAAGGACACGTTAAATAGCAACAAATCTTCACTGGCAATATTGCCACACTAGTCTAAAATTCAAAGGGGAATCGGGAAGGGAAAAAGACTACACAAGGAATGTCACTGCACTAATTTGGGAGACATCGAGAAAGTCACAGTAAAACTGCTGACCACTACTGAAGGCAACACCTTATGGATCAGCATTCCTATATGGAAAAAAGAGATTTATTTTAGATTGTTTATTTTGATATTTAACATCACTACAGATTTCTGTGTAACACCATTCATCATTTTTTACACACTACTGACCATACGTAACAGATCAGCTGGTCGTTCAGAAGCAGCTTCTTTCTGGCTATTACTTGGTTCCTCTACTTACGTTGAGGTTTAAAACAAATCCATTTTCTACACACCACAGCCCTCAAAGTTAGACAGTCTTCTGAATAATATCTCTGGCTTTCCCCCTGCAAAAAGACTGATGTCTACTTATGGAAAATATCCTGTGCACACAAGATATTTCATATAGAACAAATTTTCTGATGTCTGAAATTCAAGCAAGCACCCAGTGTGAATAAGGCACAAGTCTGAGGAAGAATGCCTGAAAGCAGCCCTTAATGCTTAACAATAAAAAGTAAGAATATACACCAAGTTAAAATTAGAGTCAGGAACAATTTCATTTCTAAAATAACCTTTAACATAAACATTTATGAAGAGAAAAAAAAACAAAGTGAGCCTCATTGCATAAACAGACCACGAGAGTTACACACTTGACTCTTTGCATTAGGAACTGACCCCAGGCTGTTTCGTATTACAATCTTACCTGGTAGCAACAAATTCACATTTTTTAGGGAAAAGCCTTTCAGAAGTGGCAAGATTAATGAGGGCACTGTCCTTACATTTGATAACCATGTTTTCTTAAGATCATGCAGATGGCTATTACTCTTTTGCAAATAAGGCTGATAAATTTTTAGAATAGTCAGAGACAGGTTTCTTCCCAAACTTGGAAGAAAGACCTATCTATTGAAGGTCTTATGGCTCACAGCTGGTTTCAAGTATTCTGGTGTAAAAAAAAAAATACAACCAAACAAATGGAATAACAACAAAAAAACCACACAACAAACAAAACAAAAAAAAAAAAAACAACCTCAACATAGGATGACAAAGCTTAAAGGAAATTTAAGAAATCTTGACATTAGTCTTCCAAAATTATCTAGATTTAGTATTGGCTATGGTTTCAGCTTGAACTAAAGGCTACTGCTATAGCAGTCTCTACCATGTAAATGCTGCTGTGTGTCCTCTGTCTTTGATGTATTTCCTTACTTTAAAGGGTGAAATGAATTCCGATGACATAGCTGTTGCCAGCTGCTCATTTCACCAATCACACTCCCACAGTGTCAACCTTTCTGAGCACAAGGGCTGCCTCCTCTGCATTCTGGTCGGCAGCAAAGGGCAGGAGGGTGAGGAAGTTGCTCAGTAATGAAAGTCTGCATGATTCTTGCAAGTCAGCAAAGGATTTTTAATCCTGTAAATTTTGTTATGCCCTGTGGTAACATATTTGGAATATAAATTTAGACATATCCAGGCAGTCTTTTGGATATTCATCTGCAAAACACTTGGACACAAATTATGAAACAGAAGAGGAGAAGTGGAAAATACCAGTACTGTCAGAAACGGTGCATTTTTCATCACATAAAACATTAACCCATCCAATATTTAGATTATTGCCCAGAGAGGCAGGGAGAAAAAAATAGCTACCTACTAATAACCTGACAAAGCCATTTGACTCCTGTATATTCTTTCCCCCTTTCTTCAGCAGGCTGGCTAAGTACCTTATTTTCACAGCTATTTAAAACTAGGACTGCCATTTAACTGCAGAAAAACTGGCAGGTACTGTAGTAACGGAAGGGGGTTTTGACACTTCACAGACACCTTGCTTTTATCACACATTTTTCAACTGTGTTTCTGCCTCATTGTTCCCATACTGGGAATTTTAATCATGCAAGGATCTGTCTAGGCTCTGTGGGGTACAAAATTGTTTTGTTAAAGCCATATTACTGGACAGCCCTATATGCATCTCCATTCCCAACAAAAAGCTTGTGTGCATCCTCAGAAAAACACTAACAGCACTCTGGAAATATTTTTTTGTAATGTGTTTGAAATAGTAATTCAGTGTCAGAACACTTATCTAGAGAAATAACTTTTGCTAGAATTCACTGATCATACTGGGGTTTTATTTTAAATGTTCTTCTTTGATGATGAAAGCAGTGTCTTCAAGTCTGTGGCCTGCGAAATAAATGCAGTGTTTGACTTTTAGGAGGAGGACGTTGGTGGGACAGGCTTCAGGCTGCTGTAACAGACTGTGAGGCACCCAGCGAGGGCTGTTACAAGAGACACCACTGCTGCCTGTGCAAGCCTCTAACACTGATGGGCCTGAGCATACAGGAACAAAAACCTGCCTGCAGCTCCAATGACTACTACTGCTAATTCCCACCTATTCTTACCTATTTTTCTGCTTAACCGCAACATCCAGAAAATATTTACAGCTGTCTCAAGCTTGCTTTGCTGGAGTTTGCTGGGACCTTTGTGTCCGACTTGCAGCTTTTTAAGTTTTAGGCTGAGAAAATTAAAGGCAACTGCAGTCTCATTTACATCTTTTACCTGCATTTATGTTAATTTGTTTGTTACAAAAAAAAAAAAAAAAAAAAATCAATTGGGCAGCCCTAGCCTGATTTAATTATAGAAGACATACTGCAAATGGAATACTACTGGGACACTGACATCCAAAGAAATATGTTCACTTGGAAGAGCAAGATGCTGAAGAGTCTCTTTTTACACATGACTTAAACTGCTTATTTTATGCAAGATCTTGTTTTAAAGTTAAACAAACAAATCAATCAACCAAAAACCCCCAACCATTAATAAGTGAAATGCTTTATCCAAATCAGGAATGAGATAGAATCCAGATGCATGCTAGTTCTTGGGTGCTAACTTTTTAAAAATCAAGTTGCACTTGACCTCTCCGCATTGGAGTTTTGGTATTTGACACAAGCTGTGATATAAAGAACAGTGAAAAGAGGTTGTGCTCTTGATGTTCCCTTTCAGTGACACTGATGTCAAATAAGGCCAGCAGTAAAATGGCCACCATTGGCTGGAAACTCCAACACTGTTTAGGTCAGAAAATTCTCATTTCAAAGACAAACTTTGCTCAAGCACACAATACAGCAGCTGAGACATACTGGGCAGCTTCAGATAAGTTGGTCCCCACCTTCCAGGGACAGCGTGGAAATCTGCTTCCCCCCCTTATCTGTGTTTCCAGCATGGTCACGCAGGAGTTTGATGTCCAAGTGGTCAGTTCCCCAAGCAGTAGCTGGTCAGATATCTTAACATACACAATATTACAGAGTTAAAGCATTAAAATATTTGGTTCAACATTTCCCCCTCCATGAGTAAAACACAAAAGCAGAAGAACTATCCCAGGCACAAGGCACTTTGCAATGAAGTCACGATACACACTCCAGAATTAGTAGCACCAGATGCAACAAGATGTTGTTAACTGGGGAGGAAGACGGAAGGTTAAACTTCAATCCCTGGAGCAGGTTAGTACCAATGGCCTGAGAGAGGAAAAACTCACTTTCCATATGGAGACATCTTCACAGTAATTCATTCCCAAATGGTAACTTTTCATATGAAAAGGATTTTCACCCTCAGTAGGTCACTAAAGCTGACTGGACACAAAAAGAGAAGCACAGGACCACTGCAGAATTGTCACACTCAAAAAAACTAAACAACAACAACAAAAAACAACACAACAAAAAACCCACAAACAAACAGACAAAAACCCAAACCAAAAAAACACTAAAGGTCTGAACAGGGGCAGAGGGGATTTCCAGGAGACATTTATTCCTATAAGACAAATTTTTTAGCTTTGTCTTAAGCTACTGTCATTTCCTAAAATTGCACAGCTCTTACTGTTGTAGGTCACACAAGCAATCTACCCATCTGAGTCCTTTGGCACCTCAAATGACAAAGGAAGAATCGAGCATTTAGGACTGAAAGCTGAGCAGGTTTCAGCTGAACAGCCCAATGCCACTTAAATTTTTCAAGTCAATCCACATCATTGGGTTCACTGTCTATTTTTTCACATGTATCGTTTCCATTTTCCAGAGGGAATGTCTCTGATTCAGCAGTGCTGAGGGCAGCACCACGCTTTAGAGAGAGTTTGGGGCTTTAATTTTTTTAAATTATCCAGAAACATAACTAATTAGAGTTTGACATTTTTGTACCCAGACAAAACTCAAAGTGGTACATAAAAGGTTTATTTATGCACTGAGCACAACAGCAAGACAACACCTATACTCCACTCTTTGCTACCTTAGGACACTGAGGAATCACCAAGAAAGAATATTCTCCTGCACCTCCATGCAGCATGCTCATGTTGCAGATTTAATTCACTCTACATATAACTCATTAGACATTTGCTTATCCTTATTAGCAAATGTAGCTTTGCATCTTACACAAAATGAAACAGAGCTCTTCCCTACTGACTCTGACAACGCAAATTTCCATACTTGTCTGGGACTGCTCTAGAAGCGAGCTGAACACAGCAGAAAAGTCTTGTAACAAAGAACAAAAAAAGCAATTCTGGGTCAACCATATTCTCTGCTTTTGAAAGCTCTTCTGCTGCCAAAAGTAGCATTCTCAGCCAAAAGTCGTTTGGCTAAAGTTATTAGCTCAACACAAGGGGAAAGGGAATATTGTCCCCCCTCCTTCCATGGGCTGGATTAAGAATAGCTGCATCAGCTCAGTGCTGCTGCATCAGAGAACTCATTAGGAAAACTGTGCTGTTCAGAAAGGAAAATAAACACCACGACTTCATGGAAAAATCTAAACATTAAAGGTCACGTGTAACAAAGGGAAGGATTTGTACAGAAGCGTATATGCAACCAAAACCGTGTGAGAAGGCATTCAGAGAAGTTCCAAGAGAACAGAATAAAAATAAAAATAAAACAGTTAGACCTGGGAAGAACACAGAAATAGAATGTAAAGGCACTCATGGAGAAGCCAGCATTAAGGTGACTGGAAACCTACTACAAAACCGAAGGGGGTAGGGAAGAAACACAAATTCAACACTGGGCTTGTTTTCACACAGAAGCTACAAAATAGATCCACAGATTTTCCCAAGTCCTTTGATCCTGAGGAGAAGAGACACAGATGGCAGACAACGTCAGCACTACTGGTGGAGGAGCAGTCTTGGGGGGTTCAAAACAACAGGACAAGGTAGCAGAGGGTTTTATCGGGGTAACGGGAGGGTAAGGGTCACTAGACTGCCTCTAGATACTACAGTACCACTACTGTAGGGTGCCGGACTCACTCTGAAGGATGCTTATAGTAGCCTGGGCTCGAATCCACGTTATGGAGGGATTTTGTCTCAAGTCATTCCTCCTGGGATCGTTGCTGGCCCTGCACTCGTAAGTCCCAGAGTCTTCCAAGGTAAGGCGGGTTATTCTCAGCACACTCACCCCATTCGCCCCGTAGGCAGTGTTAATGGTGACACGGCGCTTCCGAGCGCCATCCCAAAGCTGTTTGAAAGACTCAGCCCGGTTGACTTCAGCATACCACCACTGGATCTCTGGAGTGGGGTTCCCAACCACATCACAGTACAGTTCAAAGGCGTCCCCCGTGAGTTTAGTTTCTGACATGGGCGACTTGACAAACCCAGCTAGAGGGAGGGGCAGCAGAAATGCAGTGACAGAGCAGCAGAAAACAAAAGATCTTATAAAGAACAAAGCAATGAGGTGCAGAAAACAAAGAATTAGATAAGACATTAGCATCTACAGTAACACAACTTTCATTGAAAAAACACAACGCGGAGCACTTGCGGGTGGAGGCCGACAGCTGGAGAGCCGCACGCTCCACTCGGAGTATTCACGGGAGGCACGGCTTCCCAGCATCAGCTGCTCATCCTCACCACTCCGGGGAGTCCACCCGTGGCACCTGTACCTGGGAAGCCACGGGCTGCAACACACACCAGCAAGGAGGTACCTCCAAGACACGGGGCAGACTGATGGGTTCTCAAGCATTTTTCAGTTGCGTGGACCTTGCACTTGGCAAGTATTAAGCGTTCATGGCCAGATGTCTTTTCTCTGAAGGCATTTCTTGCTTTCTATGATCTATCTACAGGGGGGAAAAGGGCAAGATCCTAACCTTCTGCCCTACACAGCTTGCAATCGTGAACTCTGCTTTGACCTTTTCTCCCATCTATTTTGGACTTCCAAGGCAGGGAATTCCCCAAGATACAAATGACCTACTTTCCTGAAGTAGCTGGATCACCACAGCTCCAGGAGTCTCACAACCTTCTAAGGTAAAGGGAATTTCAGTGGTATATACACACACAGGTCAAAAGATCATTTCATTAGTTTGAAATGGACAGCATCAAAAGTACTTCAGACCACACGATTTTTGCCTTCAGAAACAAGCTGCCCTGCTGACATTCGTAATCAGGCCAAAATATCCTTATTATGGCACAAGATCCTTCAATACTTACCAGCTTCACAGCTGCGTTAAGAGCACAGACATACTAAATTGTCTTTCAATCCTATTTTCAAAGGTATCTATTGAAAACAGTGTTGCCTTAAAAGCTAGTCTCTTTCCCCACCAGCAGCCCCCCCCCAAACTAAAAGATTAGAATACAGCTGGCCAGACAGATTATGCAGCAAAACCCCTCATATTGCTGTGTTCCCTGGGCAGCAGGACTTCTCATCAAGGGCCATAGAGCCGATAAAACTCAGTTTCATCCCTCCTCAAATTCACGGCTTATTCTCAGGAAGAGGATTAAAAGACAATTCAACGGATTTCAGAAAATCAAAAGGTGGACTTAAAAGCCTTAGGAAAATTTCTGATGCACATTCCTTAAATAGCACCACCACCCCTCCCCAGATTGTTTGACCACACTCATGAAACAGTGAAGCAAACAGTTATATATACACTGACAGACAACTACATGGGAAGTTTGCACTATAGATGCATCTCTAAAGAATGGCAAGAAAACAAGACCAAGAGTCTCTAGAGCACACACAAGTGTCTTTGCTGGCACTGAAGAGCAACTGCGTTGTAGCAGCAAGTAACAGCTTACAAGAACAAGTTACTCAGGAGAAAAAAATACTAACCTCAAACTGTTTCAATTACAAACTCATTTGACAAGGATTCTCCAGCCTTGTACTCCAGCACTAATGGAGGCGAGCACTACGCTCAGGAGAAATACTACAGCAAATAATCCGCTGCTGCAGGGAGAGAGGGGAAAAAGCTATTGCACTAGAAGTGCCCTAATTACTGGCAGTTACGAATTGCACTAAGACCACTGTTGCTGCTTCTTGAGGTTAACAAGGATCACACTGTTTTCCCACTGCTGTTTGAGGTAAAACAGGAGAACAGGTTATGATCTTGCTCTGCTGGACTGTCCCCATTTCAAGGGATGCTGAACGAGGAAGATTTTGTATTCCCATAGAGGCATAAATCAAAGAGCGAGACTGGCATCTATCTCAATGTGGTTTTCTAGACGCAATAGGCTAAAGCAGTAGCATATACCATAGGCTACCTTCTTTCCCAATCTTAGTGGTTCTCTATCCTACGCTACAGCCTTTCTTTACATACCTTCCACCATAATAGTGAAATGCCACTCACAGCCAAAGAGTTGGCAGTAGCTCAGGGAAGACTGCCCAGAAAATGATCCCCCTTCTGCAGGTTCCCAGTTTTCACTAAACACTGATGCACAGAGATGACGAACCCCCACCATGAGATGCATCCCTGGAGTCAAAGGCCAAGTGACCCAAAACCCCAAAGTTGAAATTCAATCCTACTTCTCCAGATGTCCTGGCTACTAAGCAACCATTTCTGCAAGAAAGGCTTCTTACCTAGACTTTGTGGCAGGGGTGAAGGGGTGTAATTGTATATTTTAAAATAACTGTGAGCTGCACTGCTGCTGAGGCTACACAATAGACATATGTGGTATGGAAGAGTACTGTAAATCCTCTTATTAAAAGGAGTATCTCTAATTTGATTAAAAGAAGCTGTCAAAAGCTTTTGGTTTTCAATCTGATTCTGCATTCGCTAAGCTGTTAAAAGTATTATAACTTTTGCACAAAGCCTAAAAATAATTTTAAAAGATTAAACTTGAACTGGACAACTGCATCAAAAGGTCTCTTTAGTAAATATTCTCCAGGTTTAAGTTTTAAATCCTACACTTCCATTAGTTTCAAATCCTCTTGAAAAATGCCTCAAGTTATGATGCATTTCAATGCAACACAACCTTTATCCGAGTAATCGTGTCATCAGCAGAGATAACTCTATAATGATGGCAAAGAAAAAGCACAAACTGAATTTGGTGGCCCCTCCCACCCCACCAAGAGATGAAGTGCTCTTTAAAAGGGTGTTCCAGGTTAGAATAAAATCCTGGAAGGGCAAATGTGAATGAAGGTGGTAGAAAAGCCTCCATATGCAAATTAATTACACAGGACCAGCAGTGCTACTGAAAACTCTACACAAGAGTCTCAGGTTAATGTTTTACATTTTCAGTTGTTCAGAAACAGCAAAGGCAATACCTCAAGTGGCATCAGTAAGTTGAGGCAATGCTTCCAGCTACTGTACATCTGCCAGAGGGCCATTTCTGATTAAGACACCTAGCCAGAAGCTGCAAAAAGAGCCAAAATCTGCCAGTAATAAGACAACGTGTTTAAAGGAAAAAAAAGGCTAAATATTACAGAGAATGCTCCTTGTAACAACAGGAGTCTGGAAACCAAAGTACTCCTGCTTTTTGGCAATTGTCAGCGATTTCCTTAATTGCTCAAAACCAAACAGAAAATGACACTATACAGATTTCTTCGCTTACATAAGAGGCTTTTGGAGCCCAACAGTTTCCTTACTTGGTCTTCTCCAAGCACAGTACTTGCTGCTTTGTTATTACCACAGTCTGAACAGTTCAGAGTCTGGAGCATCAAAAGAACAAGTATGCACCAAAATACAAACAGACTAATCCAAGAAATCAGGGTTGTTAAAGTGATTTTACTGTACCTGTTTAAAACTGAAAGCCTGCCCTCATCTGTAATTTATAGCTGTCTTATTTCCAATGTGTAAACTGTAAGAAGCACTGGTTGCAAAAATCATTGTCAGCTTCAGCTTGCAAGTGTCAGCCCTGTACAAAACAGCAGAGCAAAACTGCGGCCACTATTCAAAAGCTCGCAAAGGTCAGGGCTCTTGGAAGGGTGGAGGAAGGAGGCAGTAATCCACAGATCATTCCTTAAAATCATACAGACCCACAGGAAGTAGCAGAATAGCCCCCATCTTACGAGAATCCCTAATGTCAAATACAATAGGAATAAGCATCTTCAAGTGCTTACAAGGAAACATTCTGTTGAAGTTTTAATACTGTAAATTTTCATTATATTGACAACTGTATTTACTTCATTATAGTCATAAATTAGTTATTCTGTTATACAGCAAGTTTTCCACATTAAAAGAAGGTGTTTGAGGGGAGGGTTCTTCCGGTTTTGGATATTTTCAAAGCTAATTGCTATCATGCATAAACGAACAAGAGAAAACCTATTGTTAAATATCTCTCACAAGGTCTTTACAAGTCTTCGTGATATACCAGAATGCAAGAAAGAGAACATACGATGGCTCAGAAGGTGTAGCTATTCAAGTACACTATTATGTTTCCAACCAATATTTTTTTTTTGTTATTAGTTGGTGGTTATGTGACTGAAGGACAGAATTAAGAACAAGCTGCAATAATATTATATCAATTCTGAATTGATGTTTGGTTATTGAAGATTTGATCTCATCCACCAATTGTGAGGATAAAGGTGATGAAATCAATGGACTAATGCTCTAAAATTAGAAAAACAGGTCAGTCTCCACATACAATTCTGCCAAAGACTACAGAAATCCAGCGTGCAGCAGGGCTCTTCACAAACTGTATGTTAAAAATTTGTATTGTAGTGAAGAACCACTAAATCCAGTTTAAGAAAAAAACCTGCATTTTGAAGGACAGGTACACTAGGAGTGAGGGAAAAGCTAAGAGCTATTCAAAAGGGCAGTCAAATATTTCCATATGCAGTAAGAGAAACTTAAGCAGCAGACTCCCAGAACCATAAAGCTGGAAAATCTCCACATTAGACAAATATAGAGTTCAGAAGAGAGTGGACAAGCAGCCTTAAGATGGAGAGTTTAAATGAGCATAAACGCCTAGCTTTACCACTCCTGAGCAACCTGTTTTCATTAATGAGGCTTTATCAATGAAAGACACCTTTGCAGATTAATTTTCCTTCTGTCAATATTTATGAGTTACCTGTTGGCCAAAAGCAAGTGAGGCCAAGCCAAGCTACGTGTTCCAGCTTTAGCATATAAATGAATCACAGCTTTACATACTAGCAATACCCCTTCCAACTTCCCCATGACAGCAGCACCCCTTCCAACTGCAGCTCTCTCCCTCACTGACAGAAGCCAGCGAAGAGTCTGTAACCAAGTACCTCTGAGAAGAAGTGCAGGTGAGAGAAGGAACAAGGCTTATCCTCTTGCTGATGTGATCATGTGTAGGATGAAATACAGCATGCAACTAGAAATGTATACATATTAGAAGCGGGTGGTAAATATTTAACTGTAATGTTGACCAAGTTCTGAAGCCTGTAGAGCAGCTTGTGTTCCACCCTGGCTGGAGCCCCCCTG